GGCATATATGATGAGGAAGAAGGGTGGCTCAAGGAGGATTCCTAGGTTTTGGGGAATATGTGCATATATATCAGCTTGGATTTCCATATACTGTAAATATATGACTACAAAGCTCTTCCATTAAACTGTAAACAACAGAATGGAAAGAACAGTGTAACAATGTATTATTCACATCTTTTTAACCCCAGTATCTCCTACAGTGTTGGAGGCACATAGTTGGAACTCAGGAAATGATGTTGAATAAATCATTGAATAGGTGATCTTCCTCAGACTTACCAAGTTGAGATTTCAGCTGTAGGGTGTCAATGACCCCCTAAAGTGTAGGGTGTTAAATATAATGCCCCCCTAAAGGCATAAAACCCCCAGGTAGAAGAAAACTATGCCGAACATCTACACTTCTAAAAGACTGTGTCCTAGTTTATTAGTTTATATGTACACTTCCTCTTCTATCATGAATTCATCTTACTCAAGATGTAAAACCCAGAAGGTATAAAATAGAGGTAAATATTGACTACAATAATAAAATTTCACGTTGCACCTATCAGATCAGCAAAAATGAATGCCTATTAATTGCCTATCCCTGGCAGAGGGTAGGAGTAAGAGTAGCCCTGTTTCCTCACTTCTCAAATCGGGCTATGGGGATTAGGTGAGCTATTTCTGGCCTCAAGCAGGCATTCTGTAAAGGTTGACACTCTGTCTTTCTCTTTACACATCCATATGTTCCTCCTTCAAGACCTTCAAACAACTCCTCCACCAGGAAGCCTGCCTTGACTACTCTAATGTGCAGTAACTTCTTTTCTCTTCTCTGAGCTCCCAGGTTACCTATCTGTAAAGATCTTTAAAAATTAATCATGGGTAATCCTGTGATATTAATACTTAATTAACTACCCACATACTACAATAATACACTGTTTTCCAGCAGTCAGATACACCTGGATTCAAATATCAACTATGCCACTTATTTGCCATGACTTCATCTTTCCCATTTACAATGTTCACACCTGTGAAATGGGAGACATAGCCACCCATCTGATAGGGCCGTTGTTAGGATTTGAGATAATGTATGTAAAGGGGCCAGCACATGTCGCATATGAGGTGTTTAATAAGTACATCCCAACAAGCATCCATTGCAGGCAGTTGTTAGATCTCTTTCAAATTTTAATCCTCTACCAGGTACGGCACTTCACAGCATGTCTCATACATGGCTGCTGCTTGATATTTTATTTATTTCACCTTTTCCAAAAAGGAATTAAGGCAGCTAGGTGCTCAACACATATTTGTTGAATGGATTACAGGTCTCACTTTCCAGTCAGATGCTCTTTCTTTCTGCTTTTTTTTTAAAGGATTTTTATTTATTTATTTTTAGAGAGGGAAAGGAGGGAGGAAGAGAGAGAGAGAGAGAGAAACATCAATGTGCAGTTGCTGGGGGCCATGGCCTGCAACCCAGGTATGTGCCCTGACTGGGAATGGAACCTGCAATGCTTTGGTTCGCAGCCCGCGCTCAATCCACTGAGCTACGCCAGCCAGGGCCTTTCTGCTTTTTTATAATAAGTAAAACACCACAACATTGTGACTTTGAAAAGCCATTAATCATCCTTCACGTGCACCACAAATTTTCTTTTTTAATTATAAAATACATGCCCATGGTGAAACATGAAAACATCATAAGAGAATAAAATGAAAAGTAGCCTCCTCTTCCCATATCCAGAGGTAATATTTTTAAAAAGTTATATAACCTAGCAATCTACCCACTTGTAGTTGCTAAATTTAAAAAAAAGTAAATGGGCTAATACTATAAATACAATCTACTCTATGCATTTTTCACTAAACATGCAGGCAGTATTTACTGGTGTTGGTATTTTGCAACTACTCTAAATTCTTTAAATTATTCCTTAAAGATTTGCACTGATTTAGCATCATATGAATAAGTTCCATGAGGGTATTTTTGTCTCTTTTGCCCTACTCTATCCCAAGCATCTAAAAAATTCCTGGAACAGCCCTGGCCAGATAGGCAGTTGATTGGAGCATCATCCCAATACACCAAGGCTGAGGATGTGATCCCCAGTCAGGGCACATACCAGAATCAACCAATGGAGCCCTCACTGGGTAGCTTAGTTGGTTAGAGTGTCATCTGATAAGCCAAGGTTGCAGGTTTGATCCCAGTGAGAGCACATACATGAATCAACCAATGAATGCAAGTATAAGTTAAACAACAAATCATATTTCTTCCTCTCTCTGAAATCAATAAATTTTTTTAAAAAAGAATCAACCAATGAATGCATAAATAAGTAAAACAACAAACTGATGTTTCTCTCTTTCTCTCTCTCAAAAAAAATTTTAAAAAATCAAGCCCTGGCTGGTATGGCTCAGTGGATTGAGTGTGGGCTGCAAACCGAAGGTTAGCCAGTTCAATTCCCAGTCAGGGCACATGCCTGGGTTGCAGGCCAGGTCCCCAGTGGGGGGCACACAAGAGGCAACCACCCATTGATGTTTCTCTCCCTCTCTTTCTCCCTCCTTTCCCCTCTCTCTAAAAATAAATAAATAAAATATTTTTTAAAAATCAATAAAAAATTTTAAGTATCCGGAACATAAATATATGGTCAATAGGTATTTGCTAATGAATGTTCTTCTTTTTGAGGAATTGCCTTTATTCAAGGTATACTGCCCTCCCTTAGTCAAGTGACAAGGAAGATTGATTCAATACTCCCTCCTTCAATTTTGAACTGAAGCAGAATAAAAACACTGGAATTTATTCATTCTTGTGTTGAACCCAGTACAAGAGCATGGAAAGTTCCTGATACCAAGATTCTCTAGGGTAACTGGTACTTAACTATTTCCAGCCTGGTTCTCCGGCCTCACTTTGAATTCTGTGAGTGAACCCATACCCTTCCAATGAATTTTCTTTTGCCCAAGTTAGCTCAGGGTTTCTCAACCTCAGCTCAATGGACATTTGAGCTACATAATTCTTTGTTGTGAGGGGCTATTCTATGCATTATGGTATATTTAGCAGCATTCCTGGTCTCTACACCAGATACTTGCAGCATTCCCTAGTGTAACAATCAAAACCACCTCCAGACAATAATGAATGTCCCCTAGGTGGGGCTGAATTAGTAGAGTTGATTTCTGGGGGAGGAGGGGGGAGTCCTAACTGATGGCTCAGCTATATAATATTATGTTACATGGATAACATATTGAGTCAGTGTACTAATAATGGATTTTAATGTTTTATCTGGTATTACTTTAAATAGCTTTATGGATATATAATTTAAACGCCATAAAATTCACCATTTAAATGGTGTAATTCAGTGGCTTTTAGTATATTCACAGAGTTGTTCAATCATCACTATATCAATTTTAGAATACTTTCATTCTCATTCTCAGTTGATGGGTATTTGGGTTGTTTCCACTTTTTGGCTATTGGGAATAATGCTGCTATGAACATTTGCATACAAGTCTGTGTGTAGACATATGTTTTTATTTTTCATGGGTAGATACCAAAGAGTGAAATTAGTAGGTCAGGGGCTAATTACTTCTAAGATGTAAAACAACATTTTCTTTTTTCTATTTCAAAGGATTTGTAACAGAGCCAAGAAACATAATTTTCATGTGAACGCTAATATTGAATCCTTTTTTAAAAATAATAAGGTTAATCTTCACACAGCTTTGCTATCAAAAGAACTGTGTCATGTTACTTTCCAATTTGGCGTTCATATAGAAATTCTAAGATGAGGTGAGAGTTCCTTCACATTTAGTGTAAATCACGAAACTGAATTTGCACTGGCCTATTTAGTAAACATGCCAGGATCAAAACCTATTTTTTGAGAGGAATGCATATATCCATCTCCTGTGGCTGGCGATCGCTTCAGAGATATACAGTAAGGGAAGGTTTACACAGTATAGCAATAAATAGGAACTGAAAATACCAAACACCCTGATTAAATTAAACACTTATTCCCTGAGTGGAGGGCCTGTTTCTCATACCATAAGAAAAAGGTGAAGCATTAATTGTAATTCACCATGTAAAATCCCAAATCCTTTCATAAAAGCATCTTTCAGAAACTGGAGGCCAAATAAACTTCTGGTCACAAGTTATTTTTCCTCCCTGGCAATGTACACTCTAGCTCAAATATATTCAGGAAACAAACTTTAAACAGAGAGTTAAGAGCTGACTGTAAAATTCTACATAAAAGGGAGCTTAAAATACACGTTTTAACTTAAAGAAAAATCAAATATCTTCCAGCAGAAATTAGGCATAATCAAGGAAAAAATACCAGACGTCCTACTAATCACAACGCTAGAGGACTCCACAGGTTGCCCAAAAAGACGCATTCGTTTTAGCCAATAGCTCTTTCCTCCCGCCAAAGCTGTCCTTAGAGCGTCAGATAATAACCCAACCAGTGATTTATGATTTTTCCCTTTTGAACACCCCCATCCTCACACACACACACACACACACACACACACACACACACACACATCCACCTGCTTGGAGGTGTCAAGGCGACTAGAAATGGTTAACAGTGACCAGCAACAGAAAGAAACAAACATCCCTGACAACCCACAGCTGAGTAAGCAAGAGCTGTTTATTCATGACCATGTCCCATTTGGAGACTGTCGGCGAGCCCTTGAAAGCCCAGACACGTTTTAGAAGATTCCCAGAGAGGCAGAGATCATCTTTTCTCACCGCACCCCACCCCCAAACACATAATGACTCGGGTGGGAACTGGCTGGTCAAGGTAGCCCCTGCCCACCCGCCCCACGGACTAGAGCATCCGACCCCTTGCGAAGCTGTGTGACTCCCCAAAATAGACTCGGACGCGGCAGGGGTCTAGGGTTTCAGAAGGCACTTGTGCCACCCCAAACCCGCCACGGTGACCGACGCCACGGCCGGGGCTGCGGACCCCTAGGAGAAACGGCCCTTCAGCCCCTTCCCCTCACCTGGCTCGGTCCCACCTGAGGGCAAGAGCTGAGCAGAAAAGAAACAGGCAGAAAGGGCTGACCTTGTTGCTACTGACAGTGGAGCGGCACATCCTGCTGCTTCCTGGAAAGCGGCCCAAAGCACATTTTTCCCCCTGGAGGAAGGAAACAGGAGGGCGCCGGCCGGGCGGGGGACGGGCGCGGCGGCGGTGGTCCGGACTGGCTGTGCAGCCTCTAGTGGGGACCGTCCGAGGACTACATCTCCCAGGCTGCTCTGGGCCGCCTTGCGTCGCGACTCCGGCGCGCGCGGAGGCGGTGACTCTTACCTCACAGAGGTAGCTCCTCTGCCGGCAACAACTCGGCGCCCGCGGTCCATGGACCGGAACCCCGGGCCGACGGGCAGGAACCCCGGCCTCGATCGTCGCCTCCCCGCCCCAGGCTCCTCCTCCTCGCTCCCCGCCACCTCCTCCAGGCGTCCGCAGGCCGCGCACTGTCGCCGCCGGGCTCGCGAAGCTGCCCTGGGAGGCTGGGTGGCAGGTTCCCGGTTGTCGCGGGACTGAGGCCTACTCCGCCACCTCTCAGTGCTATTGTCCCTGGGCCCGGCCCTGACCGGGTTCACTGGACAGGCGAGTGCCCCGGCTCCGCGGAAGATGCCGGACCAAGCCCTACAGCAGATGCTGGACAGGTACGGACAGCTTGGGGGAGCGCGCGAGCCGCGGATAGCCGCTCGGGCCCTGCCCGCGTCCGGCCTTGAGGCTGCACGGCAGCGGAGCGGGGCGTGCGGGGAGGAGTTCGGCTGCCCGGGGGCCGCGTGAGGGGCAGAAAGTTTGCGGTTCGTACTTGGAGGGAGGCGGGGTGGGGGGACAGAGCCGGCGGCCTGGCTGCGCCGACTTAAAGCAAAACTCAGGGAGAAGCGTCTAGTATTGTTGGAATGCCGTTTTGGAATGGTAGGGACTCGTTTTAACCCCCAGAATTAGTTTCTTTTTTTATTTCTTACTCCCCTTCTCCCAAACTATGTTGTAACGCGTTTGTTAGTGATGTCACTGGCCAGAAGAACCAGACCATCTTTCAGGGAAATGATCCTACAATTTTAAGACTCTTTCCGAAAAACAAGGATAAGCTTTCTTTTGGAAAGACAGAGGATGACTTCAGCCGTCCTTCCCCCTCATGCCATCCCCACGCCTGTACTGTAAGGTCGAGAGTATCCACAAGGGAGCTTTAATGGTCAGACCAAAGTAGAGGTTATAGAAAACAACCACACGAACTCAATTCTGAACACTTAGCGTTATTTTAAGATTCGTTGAGTTCACGAGAAAGTTTCGTCTATGTTGGGGCCAATTGCCCATACCTGGGGGTGCTGTGAAAGCAGATGAATCGCCCTCTGCTGTTCAAATTATAGTCCTTGGGTTCCACCTTGAATTTTTGAAGCTTTAAACCACAGTTTCCCCCTAGCCAGATCTTAATTTTGTGGCATAGCCAATGCTACAGGCTAATTTATAATGTTTATTTTTGCTTACAACTCTCAGGGCACCACTTGCCACCTAGTTCAGCAGGTGGTACAGCTCCTTGTGCTGAGCAAAGATCCAACTGTAAGGTGTTAAATGAAAGCCCTCCCTTAATTGAGATTATATCCAGTTAAATGCTATTTGGATTTGCCACATTCAGAATACAAATCACCCAAGGATGCATCTCCTCCCCAAATGAGACATTTCCTTTGGAACTTAGATTTTTGAGACATCTAAATTAGTAGAAATCATGGTACTTTTTTCACTTGGGATGACCTAGTGATTCATCCAACTGACCTTGAGTATTCAGGTCAAGTTGTATTGACAACTCCTTTTTTTTTTCTTTTAATGTAAACTCCTAGAAGGCAGAAACTTAGTCATCATTATTTATTTTGAACCATAAAATAGAGCCTTGTACTCTGCAGGTTATCAATACATATTTATTTTGATGAACAAATGCATGACTTTTTTTTCCTTTTTTTAAGTTTTAGTCTTTCCCCCCAGTTGTCTAGGGGGTCTGATAATTTACCAGGGTTTTCTTTTGTTTGTTTGTTTTCATTTTTTAATTACAACGTAGCATACTGGCAAACTGCATAGGACTACTGAAGAAACAAGCCCAGAGAAGCTACCTCCTGCCACTGCCAATTCCACGAGACTCTATTCTCGTGCAGAATATTTTATAATTTGGTAGTTAAATATCTGAGCGCCTGCAGCTTTCACTTTTATGGAGGTGACTTTTAGAAAAGTTTGTGTGTCTAAAAGCTGACCTGGCTTTCATATGTTCTTTGGAGATTTTCATAAAAGTAAAAAGCCAAGGAGTGCTAGTGAGCCATTTAAAACTTCTCAACAGAAACTTGGAAATTCTGGTTGCATTTACTGAAGCACGTGACTATAATACTAGCTTACCCTCATCTTTACCTTTTTGACATAGCTCAAGGTAGGTTCTTAAGATGGCATTCAAAGACCTTTATTATCTATTATTAAATCAATACTTGGCAACCTGCTTCCACAATAGAATCACCCCGGGTACATTTAAAAGTATAGTTGGATGGCTCGCTCAGGACCAATTAGATTACAAATTTTGGGAGGATGGGTCCCGAGCATCTCTATTTTCAAAAGCTTTCCAGATGTTTCTTCTGTGGCTTTGGAAAACACTACCTTAAATCCTATGGGATTATTTTGTGGTAAGAAGTAGTACGGTTTAGTGCAAAAAACTTGGGCTAATTTAGAGACCAAAATCTTGAAATTCTTATTCTGCCACTTAACTAGCTCTGCAATTTTGGAGTTACCCTTATAGAATGGGAATATTCTAGCTCACGGGGTTATATCAAATGATGACAGGTGTAAGCACTTTATAAAACAATAAAACGTTATTCATATATTAGGCACACAGAAGGTACTTAAGATTTTACTGTAACAAACCAGTGTGGCAATACCCCCCCCCCCCACCGCCCCATCTCTTTCATAGTTACATAATCTAGGACTGTCCAAAATGCAAGTTGAACACAAAGGTTCTTGATGAATTCATTTGAGGAATGCTGACAGCCTGTTGGGGCCCATAATTCTTGCCTTGACTTGGCTTTCCCCCAGCTTGGTCTTTGGGTGGCAATTTTTGAGGAACAGAATTGAGCTCTGAAACCTGTTCATATGTTGACTTCTTCAGTTTTTATCCTCAAGAAGAGTAAGGAAGTAATATAATACACAGTTGTTCTTTGACTTCTAGGTTAAAAGTTAGGTGCTTTATAGTGAATTAAACATTTGTACTTATTGAATTTATTTAATAAATATTGAGTGCCTACATATGCTCAGTACTATTCTTGGTCTTTGGTATGTGGTAGTGCATGTAACCAAAAAAATATATACTTCTATGGAGCTTAAATTCTAGTGAGGTTTGTGTCCCATAAACTGTCAAATACAATGAAGATGGTGTTTAATTGTTAACCTGAATGGTATGTTTAGTTTATACCACTTAGTCTTTCAGGGTTTTTAAATGAATGGCAATTTATTCATATCAGAAGTTGACTTGTCTTTTGTGAAGTAAATAAACTTAGTTTAGCAATTGTTTATCTTGATACATTTTATTATTGCAGTATTTGTAGGTGGAAAGAGTATACCCACATGTAGATATATAGTTTGCTTTTCATTTTTTTTGCTTTTCATTTTTATAAACAATAAGCAACTGTTTATAAAAACTTTTAAATTGTTATCAATAAACAGTTGTTTGAGGGTAGTGGAGAAAGTGGTGGGTTTTTTAGCATCATGAATGATTTGGGATCACAAGTCATTGACCTGAAATAATAACCATTTATAAACTAAAACCCTGTATATATTTAGCTTTCTGAACCTTGGTCAGTTTGTATTTCCTTCATTGTCACACTTCTTTAAGGAGGCATCTGTTATTATATTTCTCAAAATTAGGATTATGTAGAGAATACAAAGGATAACAAACTATAGGAATGGACCTCAGATTCAAGGTCTGGACCTGCTCAGAAATGCTTCTGGAAATTTGACTTGTGTACCCTGTCTCACAGTGAACACTCAGGAATTTGTTGACGTTGATTTGCATCACTTATTTGCACCTGGTGAGTAGGCAGGGCATGAAGCCAGTGTTCCCAGAACAGTCAGATGAAGGAAAAGCAAGTAGAATAATGTGTTCCCTGCCTGCCTCCTTTAGTGCAAAGTGATTTAGAATATTTACTCTGTGAGGATGTCAACCACAGATATAAATTCCTTTGGAAAATACTCTGGCAGGATCATACTATATTGTCTTCTGATTTATATAACCATCTTAGTTTCTATTAAAGCAACTTCCCATTCTCTTTCTAAGTTGACATCATGTCTTTAATCACCTCTATCCAATTTTGTCAATTACAGAGCAGCTCTTGGAATTAAATCATTAGGAATTTAGTACCCTGGCTGCGTAGTTCAGTTGGTTAGAGCGTCATGCTGATACACCAGGTTTGCAGGTTCAATCTCTAGTCGCGCATACAAGAAGCAACCAATGAATGCATAAATTAAGTGGAACAACAAACCAATATTTTTGTTTCTCTCCCTCCCTCTCTCTCTCTCCCCCTCATCTCCCTCTCTCTCTTCCTCCCTTCCCCCACAAAATCAATAAATTTTAAAAGTCACTAGCAGTTAGTTATGTTTACTTCCATCTGTATATACAAATTAGAAACTTTACAAAGTCACCTTTGACCAGTATCCCCAGTCCCATATCATCTCCCCATACCCACCCCACTATCATAAATGGGTTTATATTCTTACTGTTTTTGTTTAATGCTTATATATCATATAGAATAGTTTTGTTTCTAAAATTTAATCAATCTACATTTGCTTTTTAAAATATTGTTTTGAGCTCTGTGCCATATAGCAATTAAAGAATATATATATAAAATACCCAGCCCTGGCTGGCGTAGCTCAGTGGATTGAGCGCAGGCTGCGAACCAAAGTGTCTCAGGTTCGATTCCCAGTTAGGGTACATGCTTGGGTTGCAGGCCATGACCCCCAGCAACCGCACATTGATGTTTCTCTCTATCGCCCTCCCTTCCCTCTCTAAAAATAAATAAATAAAATCTTTAAAAAAAGAATATATATATAAAATATCCACCTTAACATACCACTCTTTTTAATCCTTTCCCCTATTTATGACATTCAGATTTTCATTTTCTCTTTATAATTTGACTTTTCATTCCCCTTTCTTGTCCTTAGCTCTACTAAAAATACACTAAAGGTCATCAGTAATTTCTTAAGCAATAAACTTAATGACTTTTTTCTTGGTCCTCATGTCCTTGACATACATGTATTGAAGATGAAACTGATCCACTACCCCCTAACTTCCTCACTTTTTACTCCCTTCAATAACGTAAGTATGGTTCAATCCTCAGCACTTACCAATTTTCTTTGAAAAGTGTACTCACTTATTATCTCATTTTTACCTCTATTTGAACGACTCCCAGGTGTGTCTTTATCCTGATCTCTTTTCACATTTTAGTATCTCATTTCTAGCTGCTCAGTAGACATTTCTACCTGTATATACACAGTATTACTAGCACTTTAACCTATCTAAACTACTGATATTTTCCTGCCTTTTTACTTATCTTGAACTCCCAATGTTTAGTCTTTGATAGGACCATTCTTACAGTCCACCAACCATAAAACTGAAGTTTTTTGGGTTTTT